TGTATCGGGTATCATTGTGTCTGAGTAGGTATAATGACTGCCACAGTTGGTAGTCATAGCATGTGGTTAATTGGCATGCACTAATAAATCATTAAACATGTTGTGTGTGGTTATCGTTAACCAGCGTTAACGCGGCGTATACATAACAAAACGGGCGGCAAGCTAATTTGCATAAGCGTATCTAATAAATCCCTAGATTTGCATATCCAATGGCCTAGTTTACACAAAATTGGCAAAGAGGCCACAAATCAGTGCTGGCCGCGTATAATTAAGCTGTCAACATAATTAAATTTATCGCATTTATGGAATACTTTAGACATCGCCATTGCAATTAAGCGCCCTTCGCTTGACCAACGCTTCGGCTATTTTATGGCAGTGGAAAATTGCTTACAAATGGCTCTGATAGACATACTCGCCGCTCGTTTACATGGAATATTTACTAGTTGCTTTATATCGTTTAGAGTAGAATTTATATTGATATTATTTATGTCTGGTTGTGGTCGAACAAATTGCACAACTCAAATTTGCTATGCTTTTCCTTGGCAATAACAATAAATATTGTGGATGGCCTGGTAAGGGCGCAAGCATGGAAGTTTAATACACTCGTTACCAAAACTATATTTCTTGTGCTTGCTTATTTATTTGCAACAATATTCTAGCACAGTTTTCTGTAATTTTTATTTCAAGTTCTCTCTTGAGATTGTCATTCGGTTTTGTACAGATTTTAATTTTAGATTGAGAGCGAGTTTTTAAACTAAATGTTTTCGGCTTAAGGCTGCACAAAATCAATATACTTTCGATAAATAAATAATTATATTTTTCTGTGAATGGAAGACATGACTGGTATCTGATAGGAACATATTCATATTTGCCATATCAAGTATTCCTTTGTTAGTTCTTTGGAATGTTTTCCGTTCAAAGAATGTTAGTTGTTAGTTGCATTCATTTGCTGAAACTCCTTTTCAACAATTTACATTTTGGTTATTTAGCATTGGGTATAACAATTGTTGTTATATTTCTATTCCACTACGTTAAATGTTTGCATTCATGTCGGGTTATATTCTCTATTTTTTATGACTTCCAAATATTTAGTGCATTATCCAATTAGGGGCAACTTGTCAAGGTGTAAGACCACAAAATGTGTTGGAATTACGTTTTGAATTATGCAGGCTTTAATTCACTTCTAACGTTACCACATAACAGTGGACCAAGGGGGGTAGAATTTCATGTTGATTCTGGCATTGTATGATTGTAACTTGAGCATGCGATTGAGTGTGTGCAGTGCCACTCGAGTGCAGTCAGAAAACCAAAGCGACAACAAATAGCAAACAAAACGTAGCATACTCGGAGGCGTTCTTTGAAGCGTGCCACACATGCAAATGCATTGCAAAGGCATATATAAAATGCAAACGCGCCTTGCCCCCGTCAGCATTTCATGCTGCCATTCCAGCCCGTTGCCCATTTACGTGATCGTTTCCAAGCGCAACTGCAGTTGCATGCCGCAAAATAATATATTCTCTATGGATGGCAAATGCTGGCCACGAGCGCCCAAAACCAAAATCATGATTACGCGCGCATTATGGCAAACATTTTGCACGGGGACCTGAGTTGAGTTGCAATTTCCTGCCAGCCTCATAATAACCATAAACTTTATTAGTTTCTTGGTTGCTCCTCTTGCGACCTCTTGTACAGAGCGCCTAATTTTATTAAAAACTTTCGGTTGTGTGTGCTTTCGGCTGTGGGTAGGGCTGTGTTCGACCAGGTGAAACTTTCGCTGCCATCAGATTTTTGTTCTAATGCTTCGAAATTCATTTTCTTGGACGCCCTCTCTTTTTTTTGTTGGCCAAGTTTTTCGCTCCGTGCCTCATTAAGTATAAATAAACGAAACCGTAAACGGAATTCGTGCAGCACAACTTTTAATGGATTTCACATAGGTGAGAGGCGTCAAAGGATTGGCTAGGTGCCGCCATTAGAACACCTTTCACAATTACGGACTGCATTCATTTATATTTAGTTTGTGTGCCATTCTAGTCTTGCTAAGAGCTCTTGACCTTGATGTTGAATGGATTCTTGAATGTTAATTTTTAATTTCATGGATTGCAAATACATATATGAATTATAAATAACAATCTATAAAGTGGCATGAAACGCAACCAAGTTTTATTTTCTGCTAACTAGTGGCCCATCTACAATTTTTCAGTAAAACAGATATACTGAATGACTTCACTTATTAGAGGTCAAAAGGTTATTTTCTCATGACAGATGTGAGACATGACATCGTTCCAAGAAACGAGGACGAAAATCAAACAGCCGAAAGTATATTGAAGAAACCTAATCTAAACCTGTAGATTAAGAAACACGCCAATTAATTATATTGAAATGTCCTTCAATGAAGTGGAGATCACGGAAGGAAGCCTAAGGAATATTAGTTAAGTACTGGCTATGTAGAAAGGAAAGATGCTTTTCTTTTTTATAATTTAATATAACATTTTTTTATGATTTTCGTATCAGCTCAGAACCAAACATACAAATGTTTGCTAATGATATACTCGCTTTAGGGCAATGCAATTAACAACCGACCCTTTCGACTTGCATGAAGGCCGTTAAACGGGAGTTGGGTGTGCGAATCAGTCAAATCAATGCGAGTAGATTGACCTTTCACATCAAATGTCACTTAACAACCTTTATATATGCTGTTTTAAATTGCGTAAATTGCGGACACAGGCCCCTCAACCCACACACAGTTTATGTAGTAACCACTCAAATCGTTGCCACAACGGCTGAAACGCAAAAAAAATAAAAATGAAAATAACTTTTTTAAGTGACAGGCGGTGCTTTGTAACGTCCTGCGCTTTTGTTGCACACAGCACCGACCCAGTGCACAATTATTAACTGCCAGCGTTCAGAGGCAAAAAAATTATGACCAAAACCACGTTAGTTAGAATCAACGGCGGTCATAAAGGCGGCCAAAGCCAAATGCCAAGAGCACAAAAGCGACCGACATTGTGTGGCTGAGCTTCTGAGTGATGGACACCGTTGAGAAAAACGTGAGACAGGGATGGAGTAACAAAAGGATAAGCAAGTCCTTTTACTGTTGACGCCAGACCACTTTCTTGTCCAATAAGCTTAGAAGCTGCACTTGGTTTGTTGACTCAGCAGTTCCACAATGCGCAGCCACTTGAACTTCCTTCACAGAAATCAAATAAACCTCGTTTATTGGATACAGGAAACAACTTTCACCTTTATTAAATTATATTGATTATTTTATATACGATTTCAATTCAGCTTTTTTCTTATATTCATATATTCCTAAATATGATCGCTCAAGTCTATTCGTAGAAATTGAGAAAAGCATGAAAGAACATCTATATTCGGAAAGACGTAGATCAATAAGACACAAGGCTTTAACTACTTATATGTGAGGAGAATATAAAAGCTCATTTCCATACATAGACTCATTTTTCATATGTATGCATTTGTATTCAGTCTTTCCCAAGCCGAAAAGCAACTAACAAACATATTTTAAAGATAAAACTTTAAAAAGTTCAATACTAAAATGAAGGTGAAGGTATCTGCCCTAGAAGCTCTTGACGAATGCATTCATACTTATTTTTTATGCAAAACAGCAATAATGGTAACTGCTTGCGATAAGCGGAAAAAATGGAAATGTTTGATATGATGGCTTACTGCAGCTGCAGCTGCTGTGGTAGCGTTGGTTTGTCTGACCTTTGACTTAAAATTCACAAAAATGTTGTAATTACTTGGAAATTTACGCGGAATCAGAACATGAATAAATCATGTTGTGACAGGTGCAATTGGATAACCGAATTACGGTTGCATGAGTTTGAAATTCAGTTAATTAAAGTTAAACATATGCATTATTTAAATACCATTCAGTATAAAGCTTAACAGTCATTATTCAAGTCTAACTAGGTGTGGCAAACTGAACTTGTTTATTTGCTTAAAAATGTGTTGCCAAATATTCGCTTTACCTCTCGCTAATAAAACACCTGACAATCAGTTGGTTTGTGGTAATTATTTAAAAAGCAAACAAAATTATGCCATCACCATCCGTTCGACTTCTCTACCCCGACTGCAATTGCCGTTAACGACTGACCGACTGGTGTTAATTTAATTATATAATAAATAAGTTCCGCACATAAACCAAAAAATATAAAAAAAAAATATATGGGAAATTCCAACATGAAAACACGAAACTTTACTGAGGGTAATTGAAAGGAAAATGAGAAAACGCATACGGCAGGACGAAAGCCCGCTTAGTTTATTTAATTGCAAATTGAGTTTTAAGCACGCAAATGCAAAAACATTTCACAATTCGTTAGCCAAGTACAAAGTACATTCAAAAACAACGATGAGTTATATGGTAACATAGAGAAGCTTTAGAGCTGATGCACGTAGAAGCCATACAAATACATAACTCTTTGTTTTTAATTTGTTTTTTTTTATGATATTACATACATTTTAAGGTTTTTTTAAGAATATATTATCTATATAAAAATATTCAAGAATGTAAATAAATAAAACAATTTTGTGTTAATATGTTTCTTTCCGATTTATTTCTACATAAGTCCGTTTGTCGTGACTGTCTGACGGCTCAACCCATTAAAGCTACGAAACGTACATTTTCACTGCAGTAACCTTTTCTAATTAAGGAAAACTTAAAACTTAAAACGCTACATAAAGTCTTCATGAATATGTTTCAACGGTTTTGGAAATTCTACCCACAGCTGTGTTTTTTGCCACCACCCGATTGATTTCAGGCTTATCTTCAAAGTTCGGATGGAAAACTTTGTTTTTAGTTTTATATATGCATTATATATGTTATATGTTATATATATACATGCATATATACTTATATGCGATATAGATATAGAATATAGAGAGCAGATTTTTTAGATTTTTGCCCTTTTCTTTATCGAAAATAATATTAATATACGAATACATAATATATATGGAGAATATTTAAAATGTGCACTTACCGCTTCGTTTCTGTATCGGGTTTGCCATATGCCCGTACAAACGACTCAAATCGATGGCACTCGCCGTTGCCTGGAGCAACAGCAGCGAGAGAATAAATGTTGGCCAAATCAAACGTCGCTGGTCCATGGTCAATGGCATGGAGGAGGACATCCTGCAGCTGTTTCTCTTGCCGCCTTTTTATGTACTTATTTTGCTGAGAACGTGCCGAAATTAAAGCACTCGCGTCGGTATATGTATTTTGTAATCTGTATCTATATCTGAGTCTAAGAGGTGCACGAAATAGAGGGAAAACTTTCAGATGCGCACGTTTGCCGCTTTACTCGAGTGTTTGACAAAGTTTTCTAGTTAGTTTGTGTTTGGGCCGCCGCGTCCTTTGCAGCAGCTGAAGGGGACCCCAGCACCGGATCGGTTATGTTTGGTTTGGTTTGGTTCGTGTTACGGCTGTCACTCTCACTTGGACTCGTTGACTCCGTGGACGTTTACTTTTTCTGGTTTCACAGATGGGTCTGATTGAATTATTGTTGGCACTTCTGCTGCAGTAGCTCGTTCTTTTGCTCTGCGCTCACAAAGCTATGCTAATCGCCTTCTAATGGAGTTATACGCACCAGAAATAAGATTTATTCCTTAACTTACTTTCGTTACGTTGATTCGATATAATTATTTATCGCTAGATACGTATTTAATTCGTGCATTTATGTTTGCGCTTTTTGCTACAAGCCGTTTTTCTAAAAGCCGTTGGATTTAGTTTACTTTTCTAAAATATTTCGGATTCGCTTTCGCTTAAACATAAAATCGAAAAGAATTTGCAGGCAAACAAATATTTTGTTTTAGTCGACTTTTTACATTTTTCTACACTGTAACGAGAAGAACACAGAAAACCACGTTAGTACATTTTTTTAAACAATTGTAGGAATTTTTAAGTAGGGATTGTGTTTTTTGTTTTTTAGCGTATATTTCCAGACCTCCATACAAAATATAACGGAAAGCTAACTAAAATGAAATATATAATTTAAAGGAAAATAAAGAAAGGAGAGGAAAATATGTTCCCTCTTGGATATGGATCAGATATTGATGAGATGGGCGGAAGCAATAAAATAAATAATATAAACAAATATGAGCTTGTGTCATTAAACCAAAACCAATGATTTTTCGACCCAATAAACATAAATTGAACAAACACACATTTAATTGGGGCATTAAGAAGTTCACACCACATTTTCAACTCGCACGCAATATAAATATATATATATAAAGATATGGGCATATATATATAAGATAGTCGCCATGACATGATATGAAACAGCGTTGGGCGAGTGTTGGGCAATTTACATGGCAATGTCGTCTAATCGGCTTAACAAAGCTTAACAATATTTCGGTGGTACGAAAAGTTGAACAACCCTTTTGCTTGCTTCTGAACACTCGCTGAAGTTACACACACACACACACACACACAAGCCCACGCGCATACACACACATGGCATATACACATAATATGCTCTAGCCATACTTGAGCGCCTTTTAATGACTCTCTGGAGCACCCAAAACACATACGCAGCAGCGGCAGAGGGAAATGGCGTTGAAGGAAAGCAAGTAAAAACCAGACCTTTAATTATAGCCAAGCTGAACCCTTTTTTTTCTTGTGTTTTGTTTTTTGGTTAAGAGCTAACACAAGCAGACAACTTTATACAAAAGTCAAGCCCGAGGAAGTGGCAACTTTTAGCATACTTTTTGGAGCAATCAAAAATGTAACGTCATTTTTGCTCACTTTATTTAAACAAGTAGACAAAGTTTGCTTCGGTATTACGGTTCCACCGACTTGCACAGCTTGTAAAAAATGTATAAAAACAAGAAGCAAGCGTCAGCATTTTAATTAGTCAGTTTGCCTTTTCTAATAGAACTTTCTTATTTTTTATGTGTTCGTTGATATTTTTGTTGACTTTTTTTTTTAGACAAAAATTTATGTTGTTCTGGGACCAGTGGCATTTTTAGTGCCAATGTTGACGTAGGTCCGTCTGGTCAAGGCAATGCTGCGGCCTTTCTTTTTTTCTTTGAGTTCTAATTGAAGTTGACAAATCCTCAGGGTGAAGGGTCAGCACACAGTGTCTAACACAGCTGCTAATGAAAATTTATGTGGCTTGATGTATTCCATCGAAGTTTCACTTGCTTTTCACAGCCAGCACTTTAGGAGAACTCTAAAGTTTATCATTGTGCCTTTAAAAACAGCTTTGAATTTTGGTTAAATTTTTGCATTTAATTTGTTTTTGCAAAACAGCAGTCTTTCAAAATTGAATCAGAATATAGCATTGAAAATAAATTGTCCCAATATTATTAATGATTGATTGATTGGATTGCTGACTGGGAAGAACTTATTGATAACATAAAATATGAAAGGAACTTCGGCTGTTAATGAAGTTTTAATGTCCAAAGGGGGAACAATAGGCCTTGCGGGCAGCCAATAATGACAGTAGCTGGCAAGTGAAGAGTGCAATACCCAAAATATGTTTGCCTAAAATCTATCTGAACGATATTGCGCAATTTTTAATGATCTCTTTGCTGGTGTCCGAGTACAAAGTTAAAGTTTATATGCATATAAAAGGGAGCTAACACATAAGAAAGTCTATCGAGATTTTATAATCTGCAAGACAAACTCAAAATGGAGCTCAAACGTGAAATTTTTGTTGATTTCCAGTCGGGCTCTGACTGTCCAGATAGTTAAAGCTGGATTTTTTAGGAAAATTGAGTTGGACGATAGATACTTTTACCGGGTATATACGCTTAAATAAACCCAATATACTCTTTTTTACCCAGTTGAGTATGGACAATAGGACAAACACAAGCAAAAAAAATTGCAGACAACTGAAACCTCTTTGTACAGTCGAAAGCATAAAGCCGAAAAGTCTCATGACAATTCGCTGGCAAGCTTTGCGCACATCAAGACGAAGCCAGAATTCTTTAATAAACTCTAATGAAAGTTTTGTGCAAACGATTTAATAAACAATTCGAAGCCGAGTAACAAACAGATGCTTTTGCCGCATTCAACGTCTGGGGAAACACAACTTGCGACTAAATTAGATACACCAGAGACGAAAGAAGCCAAATATTTTAAGACGTGTTTGCCGTTTGCTGTTCCGAGCAAAACTCAAGAAAAACCACATGGCTAAATATTAGGATAGGCCACAGGGGCATAAAGAAGCGCAACCAGGCGAGCCATAAAGTAGCAAACCAAGCCAGCTATGTGACGTGGCCAAAATGTTGCCAAATAAGGCGGCGCAAATTGTTTAAAAAAGTAGCGAGACGTGGCCAAATGAGTGAGTGCAGTTAAAGACAGCAGATCAAACTATCTAAGCGCATTTTCTGTGGCAACAAAAAAAATATATGGAAGGAAGAGGCGAAAATAGAAAGCCAATTATTATACAAAACATAATGCGATGTTAGTTTTAAATATGCATTAACAGGGTCTTTAAATCTTTTTATTTTTTTTTTACCCAAAACAGTTGCTGGATAAAATGCAAGCAAACTTAAAGTAATGCTCCAACATGGGGTGTTTTTAAGGGTCATAACTTTGGGTTACTGCTGGGTACCTTCAAAGTTGAAAATGTATAAAAATAGCTGCAGAGTCAGCTGCCGAAATCACAAACAAGCGCTCATTTGCATAATATGTAAGTATAATAATATACGAAGAAGCAAAGCAGTGACTGCCCACAACAACAACAACAGCAACCAGAGAAAATGTGAGCTTTATTTTCGCAGCATTTTTCCAGCCTTTTTCATATAATTTTGTAGCGCTGGCGATGAGATTTTCCGAGTCCGACGTTACGTTTTCTTAATGCATAATTTAACAGGTGCCTTTGCTGAGCGGTGCGGGCCAGATGAGAGGCATAGCAACAGTGGGCCCGCACAAAAGCAGGCAACAATCAGCAACTGCGTGTTGTTATTCAAAGCACAAAAAACACCAACAACACACAAACAAACACACACACACACACACAGCAAGACGGCGGATGAATAAACTGCAGACTAACGAGGCTAGAACTGAGGCTGAGCCAAACTCTGAGGTAAATAATGTTCAAAGCGACTGTTCTTAAATTCAATTCCTTAACACACTCGCACACTCGCACACCAAACACACATAGACGTGGCTATATGATATTTTTGTTGTCAATTTTTGTCACTTGATTTGGTTTGTAGCGCGAGGTTTTCTTTTACAATGTCACTACCAAAATGGGCTTCACATTTATATGGTATATTTTATTACAAAGGCACACACTGACACACACAAGTGCGCAGACACACACACATGCACACACACACACACACACACAAGAAGGCAGACAAAATAAAAAAGGCGCCAGTTGGAAATACGCGGCCACAAGAAAAACAATTTTGTAAATTTATGTAAAAATTTCCATAATATTTGTTTTTTATGCATTTCGATTTGCTAACACTGTGTAAGTGTGTATGTGTTTAATAATATTCGGTTACAGTACGTTTGAGTACGAGCCAAAAAACTCGAACAACTATTTACAACTCCGCTTGAGTGTAAGTTTCAAACTCGACTGAAGCGTTGAGCACATTGCGTGCGGCTTTTATACTCTGCATTCCACTCAAATGACCGCCACAACTGAGCGTAACTCAATCGCCTACGCGTTGCTCGTCCTGAGCGAATCGCAAGCAACTCGTGCCCTCGTGCGGCCTGCTCTTCGACTCATGACTACTCCGACTGTTGCTACAGTTGTTGCTTTTGGTTGTGCGTTGTGCAAGGGCAATTCGAATGGGCATAAATTACAAGTTTCCAAATTATTGAAAGTTTTCGGTATTTATGGAAATATGATAGGTATATTGGTATTTAAGTATATTGGCAATACAGAGCATTTCATTGGCAACACATTTAAATTCACTTTGATACAAGTAATAATAATGAAAGTTTAAATTTCGATAAAAGAGTCTGAAGTGCATTATTCTTTACCCTAACGAGGAATCACTTACGATAAGGCACAAAGCATCACATCTAATAGATATACTCCGGAAATTACCAAACTCACTTGGATTAGCGAATCGACTCTTTAGATAATAATCTACCTCGTACATATTTTACTTTGCGTCTTCTAAGAACCCAAGTAGAACGTTGCAAGTGACTCAACCATGATCATAACGGCAACCAATTAAAAATACCGGCTAAAAGTAATACTAATAATAAAAATAAATTCTTACTAATGTAAAAGGGGCTTAGTGGATGGCATATCTATTGCCGTACCATATATTCATATTCAACTTTTTCTTCCAGTGGAAAATTAACCTAAATGCGGCGGTAACCAAGGAAGCCAACCGCCAAGTACTCAGCCTCTAGATACAATAGATGAAACCATTCGGCTCCTAATCTATCCACAAACAATACTTAAGAAAACTGCAAGCTGCTCAGAATAAAATTCTGAAAGTGATATTTAATCCGTCATCCGTCGATTCAACAAAATCCCCGCATAAGAGAGTCCATGACCTCATCTCTCGGTCTGCAAACAAATTCGCATTAAATCAAACTAATTTAATGCACAATCCACGTGTTGATAGGTTATTTACCCTTTAATTCCCGATTAGTTGCAATGAAGTCGTTCCCAATAACCTTTGGTATTTAACTTAGATATATTTATCTTCAAAGTTTTCTGTTCCTTTGGGTTATTAATAATTGTGCATTTAATTAAGCTCAACTGTAATATATCATATTAAAGAGAATCAGAGCTTTGGTTTAGCTAGGTTTAATTGAAAAGAAGCCAATTATTTAATTGAATTAAACTTGTTGGATCCGTCCCACGCTTCATTCAAAATAAAAAAGAACTCAATTTTAATAAAAACATATTTTGATGCCGCATTTCAACCATAATTTCCCAACAATCGGACTATAAATATAAATATCGGACTATGGGTGCGACTTGCTTACATCTGAACAACCTCTAAAAACTAAATAAATAAAGATACAATTGCCATGAGATTGACAGACATATCTAATTTGACAAGTTATCAAATATACATGCATATATACAATAGGGTAACACAATTCAAGGACCCTCTGCAAGGCGATATCTGCAGGAAAAAGCGATTGAGGAAGCTGATAAGCACAGCATATCAATTAGCATAAGACCATAAATGAGGAAACGCAACTCTCAAGGTCGCTAGTCGTTAGCATTCTAGTCCTGGCCCAGTCATCAATATACTTCCATGCGCATCCACTAAATATGCTATTAATTAAAGCAACAAATATTAATTAGTGCCGAGTGTCTATGTGTGTATGTGTGAAGCTTTTGTTTTTGTGGATTTCCTGGTAAACGAAAAAAAAAAACACACACATGTTCATGTAATAAAACCCAATGTGTTCTTATAATTTCAGCCAGCAGCAAAGAGCCACTCGCTGAGTGGAAAGTATCAGGGAAATTGAACAAGAAATTACTCATAGAAGAGCACGCCGGCTGCTACCCGCCCCGCCCTTTTTGCTGCCCACGCAAACATCTCTGGCATAACTAGGTGAATCCATGCCCAATAGATTGCCAACCGGGTCCCTTATATGAGCGCCCACTGCTCCAAGGGTAGCGCTGATTCGCTCTAGTCAAAAAGCTCGAGGGGTATTCAGGGTGTGCTATGAAAAGCGTTGGCGTTTCACTCAAAACTGAGTGGAACCAGGTTGAGCCGAAGAGAGCATGTTAGAGAGAGAGGGTGGACATAGAGTGAGAACGTTTGCGCGGCTTGTTTGTCTTTTGGGCCCTCGGACTTGTAATGGCAATATTTTTAAGAGTTCAACTGGGAGTTTGTACTTGCTTCCAGATGAAAGGGAAACTTTCTTATAGATGTGTAAAATGTTAAGCTGCGTACACACATGAAGTAAAAACTTATTTTTAAAGATGCAAATAATTGCATATGTGGTCCCATTTACATAATAATGTACATTTATACTCAAGCTTCACGGATACATTTTTGAAAGATTACTTCCCAATTAGCTGTGAATGATTTTAACAGGCATACTTTCAGAAAACAATAAAATCTTCAATTATAAGCCGTAAAGTATGCCCTTTTAAAATAAATATTAATATACAACTAGTATATATGTTTTTGAGCATACAAACTTAATTTATCTAGAAATTTTGGGAGTGATAAATCCTACAATTATTTGAGCCCGCTCATCCGCAGCTAGTTAATCAAGAGAATCTATATCTTATCCAATTTTAGAGCTAAAGACACCAAATTTGAAAGGGGAATTACTGGGCCCACTTCGACACGCTTGTCGAAAGTCTTAACATTTAAAAGTAACTTCCCCTTGAAATCCCATAATCAAGTTTTTGGTTTTTACGCAGAACACACTCTAGCAAATTATTATTAATGATGACAAGCGTGTTATGAAAATTGGCTTAAGCTGTGCGTAATAGATAAAGAAATATTTCATTAGGCAAGCCATCATTTGTTTAAGACTTATTCGTCAGTGTTTCTTGTATAAAAGTTTTGTTTGAACCGTTTTTTTTTATAATCCCATAAAAGGTGTTGGAATTTCGTCTCTGACTCCCTACGATATATATATTGTTGATCAGTATAAATAGGCGATTCGATAAAGCCATGTCCGTCTTTATGTATTTCTGTTGCAAGCCTTATATAGCCGGATCGGACCGCCATTTCTCATGGAAACGTTCTGTCAAAAGTTAGGTATTGTAAAAAAACACATTTTCTTGTTTGGAATATGAGCCATATCTTTAGGATTTATCAGTAGAAAACTGAGTTTTTCTAGGGAAAATGTTTTTCAAAAAAAATTTCTGCAAAAACTGTAAGCTATAATTATACAAAGGTTCTTTCTTTCTGAATTGCTCGGCTCCAAACCAATTGCCAACTTAGTGAGTGTTGAGTGTTTAGTTGAACTACAAATTGGCAATTCATAATTCATTTAATATGATAGTCAACTAATTAGCATGCATATGCAATTACTATAGGGGCAATAATTATAACGCTCCACGCCCTATAAAACGCCAAACAAACTGACACAAACACCTCAGCTAAGAGCTGTCTACATCAACATGAATTATTACATTCTCGTCTCTATAATTACATTAGGCTTCGGCTCGTTGGTCTCTGCAAAGCTGGAAGCTCACAATCCATACCGTCGTAATTGGGAGCTACTGCTGCAGGAGCCCAGTTCAGGACCTTATACAAAGAACGATGCTGCTCCAGTGGAGGAGCTTTGGCTGACCCAAAGACTTGATCACTTTGACGGGCTGAATAATAAAACTTGGCAAATGGTAATATTAATCAAAAGATTCAATTTTGATCACAAGACTCTTTTCCTATAGCGTTATTTTCGAAATGCCAAATATCATAGACCTCAAGGACCCATTTATATATTTTTGGGCGGCGAGTGGACCATAACACCGGGTCTACTCAGCACGGGTCTAACCCATGATATGGCCGTGGAAAATGCGGGAATTTTGTTCTACACGGAGCACCGATACTACGGCCAAAGCTGGCCATACGAGTAAGTCATTTAGCATACAATATTATTAAATACCTCGTACATTTAGTCTTTCCTATGCAGAAATGACAGTCTGTCCTTAGAGCATCTGAAACATTTATCCCTGCATCAAGCCCTAGCCGATCTAGCGCATTTCATACGATACCAAAAGTCACACTCCAGCAATCTAACACATTCCAAAGTCATCCTAGTAGGTGGTTCATACTCCGGCAGCATGGCAGCTTGGATGACGCATCTCTATCCAGAACTTGTTACTGCCAGCTGGGCGTCCAGTGCTCCGCTGCTGGCCAAGGCGGATTTCTACGGTAAGAAGATAATTGACTGTAATAAATAGTAATATTTAAGTCTGTTACATATCAGTTTTTGTTAAGAATTGCACTTAAGCCATATAACATTAACTTAAAAGAAACACAAAACCCATCTCAATATTGTTAAAATATTTGATATTTTTCCAGAATACATGCAATTGGTTGAGAACTCTCTTAACCTGAGCTATGGTAACAATTGTACACAACGAATAGAGAGGGGTCTTAACCACTTGGTGAAGCTATTCAATACGAATGAGACAACTGAATTATTAACAAGTCTGAATGCCTGTCCGAGCTATGATGCAAATAATTCGCTGGATCGCATGACCTTCTTCAGCGGCATTGGCAATTACTTTGCCCTAGTTGTACAGAGTTACAGGTGGGCCTTGTACATTGGCGATGAGTACGATTGCTTAACTACTAAACTTCTTTAAAGTGCCTACATTCCAGCGCTGTGTGAGACGCTCATGTCGCTGCACTGCAGCGATGAGGAGGCCCTGCAAAAGTTTCTACAGCTACTCTATTTGGATGGAAAGCGGTTGGGTGAATACAACAACTGTCTGGACTTTAGCTACCAGTCAATGTTGCAGCTGTTTAGCGAATATTCCGACCGCAGCTCGGGCAGTAAGTCTTATTGTTTTTCCATTTTTCAAGCGCTGCGCTCAGTTCACTTGCAAACAAATCAAAACTTGCTTGCAGCACGCGCCTGGTTCTACCAGACGTGCAACCAATTTGGATGGTACACCACAACCAGCCGCATTAACACCACATCAACCAGCTCAACCTTTGGCCGTGAAGTGCCTTTGTGGTACTTTGAGCAGCTGTGCCATGATGCATTTGGTTCACGCCAGACTCCGGCAACACTTGCCTTGGGCATTGCACAGATGAATGCACAATTTGGTGGTCTCTCGTTTGACCAGAGCCTGCGTTATCGTGAGGTGGTCTTTACGCATGGGGAGCTGGATCCATGGCGGGCTTTGGGACAACAACGTGGCCGCCAGGCGCTGGTTATAGCAGGCAAGCAACTGGCAATTAGCCAGGTTAAATAGTGCATTAATTAATTTTCTTGCTGCGGCAGGTTACTCGCATGTGGAGGATCTGACCAGCATCAATGTGCGGGACAGTGTGCCCATGAATCTGGCCAAGCTGCGTGTCATGTCTTTTCTGCGGCGTCACATTGCAGCCATTTAGATGCCTTCGTACATTATTAAATAAATATCTTCTTGTCCACGTATTAGTCAGTTTGTAAATTCCTCTTTGCTGCAACCTCTCGTAGGCGTTGCGGCATTTCTTTTCTTGCCTCACTGGCCCTCGGTAAACAGAGACAAATTGAGTGACACTTGGGCGTAAGTGAGATAAGTGTTTCGACCCTCCAATGTACACATGTATATAATTATAAATATTGTAGATTGTTTGCTCAGCTCGCAATTTCTGTTGATTAGGAAAATGCACTTATACTTGTTTGTTAGCTTGCTATACGTTCAATAATTAATTAGTTTAGCGAAACAAGACCCAATGAATCCCAGCGTTCAGATTGCATTACCTACAAAATCAATAAATAGGAATCTTCAAGTTGAAATGATAGAACCTGCAGTCTGACTAAGCTTCGCATTGGCATTTTTATCGACTGTTCGATTGGTGACAAAGTTTTATTTTCAACAACAAAATCATTTTTAAAGATCTTTGTAATTCAAAGCACTTTGTTTCCAAGCATGTTTTGAATCATTTTTTACTCTATCACAACATTTTAATGCTCACCACTTACAGCGCATTATATTTTGCCTTTGCAATATGAAAATATAAGCAGCGACATTTACCCCTCAAGCCGGGCAAAGCTTATGCAGTTTATTCCAGGAAAATGTCACTGGCTCAAAATCCGTTTCATGCCAGCTCTGCGTATACGCAATGTCAATGCATTGCAGAAACAATGCCGCCAACCAGGACAGACACCATATAAAGTATTTTCACTATATTGCTGTAGAAAGAAATACAAGAAAAAAAAAAAGAGTAGACAGGAAATCAAACAAGGCGAACAGAAATAAATAGCGTTCGGCGCGGAAAGGCGAAAGCATTGGATCTGGCATTCTGGAGCCAATGAGTGTTATAGTACATTTCGAAAGGATTTCGCTTAAAATGGATGGCTGTATTAAATTATTAAAACCAAAGTAGCTTCATCGCGTACAGAGAGTGTGAATTGGGCCTGTACCATATGCATATGACGCCACCCGGCGCTACGGGGCGCTTAATGGCAATGGGACGCTATGAAAAGTTATTATCATTGGAGCACGTTGTCATGCCCATTGCCGTTTCCGATGTTTTTCTTGTGCGAAAATTGCAAATTGCTTAAATCGCACAGTTCATGTTAAGCCTCGACGACTTTCACTGTTGTTATTTCAGCTTCTGTTTTTGTTGAGCAGTTCGAGAAAAACATATTCAACATACGCCGAGAGCCTGGGCTGTGTCTGGCACATTTATTTTAAAATGCATCTGCGTAACAATTCATTTTCCATAGGCCACATATGCGGACCGCTCAATTGATGAAGAAGATGTTCCACTTTAGGCTCAGTCGCTATAAAATATTTCTCAAGTATTGGAAAAAAACAACTTCGACGCCACAAAGCATGTTATTATTTAGCCAATCACAGTAACTATTTTAAATCTAAGGAAATCTTTTAAAGCTCGTTTAAAATTTGATCACGTCTGTTTCGAGTTTTTTACGGTAAAATGGACTTGCAAAGAAGCTTATTCCATAACCTTTACCCTGCACCTATTGCCAGAGCAAAAGCATATCTGTATTCAAAAGGTAGAAACACTTTTTTTGAGTTTGACAATGAACTCTTTTTTTTTAAGCCATGTAAGGGAATAAAGCCAAATGTCATTAATATCACTTTTTAAAGCTGTTTTTGCCCTTTTTTGATATAAATTAATTATAATTAATTTCACCGTCAAGGAAGGAAGGAATTAAAGTTTACTTAAGTTATTTTAAGAATATCTGTAGCTGAGTAAAACAAAATAAGCTCGACAGCAACACACATTTTTTACTTATAAGGGTACATAAGTATTCAAAAACTTTGGATATACATATTGTTGCACAGCAAAAAATAAGACACACACACCATACAGACAAAAGGAATGGGAAATGCATTGAGGCTATGTTTCGAGTAAATCTTAAATGAACCTATTGACCTGACGGCTAAGGGAATTATTGCTTTAAAAAAATTAATTGCAAATAAAATCAAATATCAACTTTTGATTGCCAGGCAATTCAACAATGCAAAACAATGATTTATAAATGAGAAAATTTGAAAATAATATGACTTGTATATACCATATATATGGATCTACCGAGAGTAATGATAAAATAGAAAATAAACAAAACGTTCATGTCCTTTAATCTTATGCTGAATTCGTAAAAGTAAATGTGGTATTTGGTATCTGTCTTTAAACGCCGCGTAAACAAATTGTGGGGCTAAAAGAGTAAGTTTTACAAATGAATTTTGAAAAGTTTTTAATTAATTTTTATGAAAAAGAAAACAGGCGATGAAGCAATTGATCGCTTGAAAGCAACGAAAGCCCACGTATTGCCAGTTAAAAGTGTGTCTCAGTTCAAATGGTAGAAACTTTTGCTTATGTGGAGCATGCGCTCGGCGCAGCTCTCGCTCTCAGCGCAAGCTGGCTCTTTTTGGCTCAAAAGTAACGTCCATTATGAATGGCATCCTGTTGCTTGAGCCGACTCGTAACAGGTGGCAAGGCTTCGACAGCGCTCAATCCGCCAGGAGGCAGCTTTGATGGCGTAGCCGATGGCCAGATGGCAAATGGAACCAGCTTGGAGCTGCTTTAACAATGGCAGCCACCCCCGAAAATGAGCGGAAACTGACGTGTACTCGCAAAGTAACATTGAAACGCTTTCTGCGGACACCTTGACACTGTGACACACAAATACATTTGCAGGTGTTGGCGTCAAGTTCAAATTACAATGACAACAACAGCAGCAACAACAAACAGCAGTCCGTGCTTTAGAGTTGCCACAGCCTTGTCTCAGGGTTGTTACCTTGAATTTTGTTAAACGCACACATATCTCTCAATTTGGCAAGAGCTGTAATTTTTGACTCGGAGTTTGGCATTCAGGGCTAAGAATTAACTCCATGCGCAGCTTAAATTACAGCGCCAAGTGGATTAGCTTATTATATAAAAAACTTAATATTTGCATAAATGAAGGTGGCACACAAATTGCCAGCAAACTGATGGATTAAGTCAAGTGTCCCTGAACTAAGAAATAAATTAATTGTACCCGAGTACTTAGTTGATTAGTGTGAAACAAGACTTTCATACACTGGAACAATGGGGTATATTATATTGGTGTTTATTTATGTCACTCTCAGAAGAAGCCATTTTCATTCCCATTTCGGCTGTCCTTCCTTATGTCTGCAGCCTTTCGACTAGTTAGCTCTGTAATATTGTTCTTTCATCTTTAAAATCATTTATACCTGGCTGTTTTAGCCTCAGTGTCAAGTAGTTCACACACGCGTTTTTCGCGTTAGTTGCGTTAACTAATGGCAGTTATTTGGCTTTCTGGCTAATCGCTGGCACAAACTCAGCTTAAGTAGCTTAAAATAACTTAATGTAGCTCTTTGAACTTTCCACACACACGTGCATCAAATGCTTTAAAGAGCTCAAGGAGCGAAGGAGGAAACAGTTTGAACTGCCTGAGTGGAGACCGTTGACGCTCAACTCTCGCGGGTGCAGGACGATCGGAAAACTTTGCCCACTTTATCCACTAATCAGGATTATAATTTATATTTTACCGACCCCCGTTTGAGCTTCACCTGGCTGCTGACTCGGTTGCCCTTGGTGCGCTTAATTAGCCATGGGCTAATAATTTTCCTGATTTGAACTGCTTGGCAAGTGAACTTTAAATTGAGCGGACACGTACCGTTTTCGTTTTCTAAGATTTGAATTGGCCCAAAGGCATTACATAATTGCATAATATAAAAAAAAAAACAAGGAAGAGGTTCTTGTCGGGAGCTCCCGTCTAATGGAAACCCTGAACCCTCTTCTTCCAACATCAAATGCATATATATATTCTATTATATGTCAAGTTTGGTGACTCTAGCTCTTATTATTTACCAATTATGCCCAAAAAACAGGATATCGATATCGATTTTTATCGATTGCTTAAAAACAGAGAAAGTTATCGATTATCGGAAACAAACTCGATCTGCGCGGGCACTAGGAGCACCTACATCTACAATTTCAAGTCCAGATCCTTGCGTTCATACATACGGACAGACGGACAGACAGGCAGACAGATAGACGGACAGACGGACAGACAGACAGACGGACAAACGGACATACGGACATGGCTAGATCGAATCGACTATTGGTGCTGATCAAGAATATATATACTTTATGGAGTCGGAGATGCTTCCTTCTGCCTGCTACATACATTTGGATCTTGCACAAATAAAATATAATCTTACATTTTTTTTGGGTTCAGGGTATAAAAATCATTTTGGCGCATACTCTTTTTATCATTGGTTGAAACTAGTCTTAAAATGTGCTTAATTTTGAAATAACAGCGAAAACATTTAACGGCAACAACACTCTTAGATACAAATTGAGTTGTCTGTCTTTTGTATATGATTTTTAAGTCAAATAGAATTAGTAGAAAATTTGTTTAGGTAGAATAAGTAGAATTAAATTGCAGCAGCATGGAAGTAAACAAAACACGAACCGCCTTGGACAAAGAATTCGATGTGTTTTGGTCAAATGTCAATTGTTTTGTTGTGCTGAATTTTCCGTATGAAGAAAGATGTGAATTTGTAAAAAGGGCCAATAATTGCATACATGGAACGAACTTCGTACCATACATGCATTTATTTGCCTGTGATTTCAAATGTAAAAACCAATTTCAGGAGCTTGTCTTCGTGGCCATATTCTTCTTTGTATGTCTCGAGCTGGTGCTCTGCCTCGGCTATGCGGTCCATTATTACTACAGTCCAGCATTGAAGGTCGTTTCGCGAATGCTCCACATGAACGAGCATCTGGCTGGCGTGACGTTATTGGCTTTTGGCAACACAAGTCCAGAACTATTTTCTAATTTGACGTCTCATAAGGATAATGTACCTGTATTTGGCAATTGCCTCTCGACGGCATTGTTTGTGGTCATGTTTGTGGGAGGATTGATCTGCTATCTGTGTCCGTTCAAAATGAGCTCATATAGCATCGTCCGAGACTTACTTTTCTTGATATTAGGCGTGACGCTTTTGGAATATATGATATCCAGTGATGGGATGGTTTCGATTAGAGAGTGCTGCATATTAGTGCTAGTCTACATCGTTTATTTGGTGGTCAACGTGCTTGACCTGTATCTCATGCATGTTTCCACTAGATGTGAGTAGCGCACTTAACGAGTTCTTTCTGTATTTAGCTCACTCGCATAACCTTTTGTCAGCACTGAGAGTCCAAATAGACGCTCTGGACAGTATAGAAGACACACAAGATGTAAAACAGCAGCGCAAATCCCTTGAAAAGAAATACAACGTGATTATAGTCGATCAACGCGTGGATATTCTAAAGCGTGAGCAAGGTCCAATGACAGACGGTCCAAGTTTCACCTACATGACTAAGCGTCCTGGCCGACGTGCCAAGATTGACATGAGGGCCAATCGCAGAATTGTATATAATGTATTCCAGAGAAGAAACCGGCATCTTGTGAGAGACTTCTTCTACGCACTCCGGCCCGTCGATTTAGCTGATTGGCGCAAAGCCAACATGCTTATGCGTACCTTTTATATAACCAGGGCTCCAATTGTAATAATATGTGCGTTATATATACCCTTGGTGGATTATGAGAAGGAATTGAATGGCTGGAATAAGCTGCTCAATTGTCTGCAAATTATCATTAATCCGGCGATCACAATAACAATGGGCAATGCATTAATATTTAGAGAAAAATCGAGGCTCTGGTATTACACCATACCCGAGACTTGCAAATACGGCTTTTACTCCTTTGCGGTAACGGTGCCAATTTCCATATTTGTGTTTTGTCACTCGAGGACCGGTGCCCCGCCAGCATATCATTGGTTGTATACGATCTTGAATCTGACCGGATCTATGTTCCTGACATTCCAGTGTGCCTCCGAAATAGCACTAATAATCGACGTGTGTGGCCACATATTAAAAGTTGAATCCGACTTCATGGGTGCCACTGTAAATGCCGTAGCCAGCGCCCTCGGCGATCTGGTGACCAATACGTCAATGGCACTGCTTGGTTATGAAAAAATGGCGTATGCTGCAACCATTGGCAGTCCATTCTTTAGTGTACTCCTGGGCACGGGTGCTGTGCTAGCATCCAGGATATTAACCGGAGGTTCTGCCACAATTGAGAACATGCATGGCAAGTATGGTGAGAATGCGTTCGTCTTGTTGCTTCTCGGGCTCTTGTCAACGCTGCTGTGGACAGCGGTATTAAATTATAATTCTCGCCGTTCTGTTGGCATATTCTCCATGGGCATCTACCTTCTGTATTTAGTTTTTACCCTGCTGATTAGGTACGGTATAATCCAACCATATTTCTTTATGCAGTCTATCCAGTCCCCGATCCCTATGCAGAGGCAGATGCGAATCTATAGTCAAGACAACTAATACGCTTTTGATATCGAAAATTTATAGTAGCAACTGAAACAAATTTTAATGGTATACACACATAGTTAATGTATGTCCTCAGATACATTAGTTGCCATTTAGCATTTGATAGGTATATTTATGTATGTATGTATGTAATTTATATAAGAACCAAAATATAAATTTATAGACAAGAATCTGATGTCTTGTTAATATTGTGTTTGAAAGAGTTTCGCTCAAAGATCGACGCGTTCACACATACGGACAGACAGATAGTAACGGCTAGATCGATTCGACTATTGATGCAGACCAAGAATATATATACGATATGAGCTCGGAGATACTTTCTTCTGTCTGTTTCATTACCATTTTAACAACATTCATAGAGAATCACTAATATTACGGCAATTAAGAATATTTACAGGCATATTAACTATGTAATATGATTTTTATATCGGACTTTCAACTTTTTAAATAATACTATAACACTTTTGTCCATATTAGGTTCTTCATTGACCACTATAAAATATTTATATAGCTGTCCCGTGTTGATCTAGTCTAGTCTAGTCTATCTGCCTATGAGTATCAAAAAATGATTGGCACTAAATTGGAGACTATGCAAAATAAAGCGAAAAATAGCTTTATCGCGCAGAAATTTACATAAAATTAGGTTTACTCTTGCATGAATATATAGTTTATATTTGAAATATTGAATATGCATGTGTATAAGATTAAGAACGCTCTGAACAGCAGTCAAATATATATTAAAGAATCATTTAAATCAAGTTAGGCCTCGTCAGGCGCATTGTCCTTACCATTGATTGTCTTGGAGTCTGGCGGGTATTGGTTATTTTTCTTCGGCTTGTTATGCCATTTCTTTTTGATAAACGGCTTAGCATCGATTGGATTACGTTGTGAATGATCCGGAACACGATGTTGAATATATCCGGCATTTTTGTTGGGACATATGTTTGAGGTAGCATTACCATTCGACTTACTAGCTGTGTTGACAGGCAGATTCGCCTTCGTCTGCTGCACATCATTGGCAGTTTGTTTAGATTTAACTTGCTGCCAGCAGTCAAGTCGGTTGTTGTGCAATCCTGGATTCGGGGCATTGAAATGCATCTGATCAAAGTTTTTGCTGTTTGCCTGAGATGATGACGGTGCATTGTTATTCATTTGATATGGTCTTTGGAAATTCATATTTAGTCGCTGTTGAGGTCCAACTGGTCCTCGAAAGTTTCTTATCAAGAAATCAGTCCATCCACCCATAGCATAAGCTGTTCCATTAAATGGTGGTGCATATCCACAAATGTTGCTGTTGGCATTCAAATGCATTTGTCCAATTGATTGTGACAATTGTGCCACGCCCATTTTGTTTAGATGCTCACTTTGTCGTTTTCTCCAATGGTCATACAAATGAATCTTGAATTTGTTAAAATTATCTGTAATAAAACTGCACTGGTTGCAATGAATGGGCGTGGCCATACGCAATTCTTCCGCCTTATCGGCGGGCATAGGTTCAACAGATCCGTTGACGCGCAGAAGTGCGTATACAGCTTGAAAAGTTATAAACAAGTCTGTGTTAAAAGTGTTCCAGTGCTGAATGCGACGCATAAAGCTGGAATAGAAGTCATCCGAAATAATGTGCATATTTAAGCGATTCATGAACGCGTCAATCTTGAAGCCAACCCGAAAATTATTAGAGGGCAAAGGCTGCTGCTCAATGATTTCGTTAGCTAGATCCATCATGTGGTCCAGAAGGGGCAGATGCTCCCGTTTTAGCTGCAGATTGAATGCTTATATAATGTACAACAGGCATCTCACCTACATTCACTTACCGCTGTGACATTTTTAATGTCCTCTCTGGGAAAAATAACAAAATGATATTCCGCTTTTGGGCAATCCACATTACGCAGCACCGCGGCCCGATCGGTCTGAATAACAACGTCCTTCCCAGCTTCCATTTTTCGGGTGAGTTCGCCACGTTGAAATTCCACTAAATTCGCGTCCTCCTGCATCGCAACCAAAATGTATTATAAAAAAACAGCAACAAATCGAGCTATGGAACTGAAAACTTAGAATTGGCACACTCAACTGTTTGTGAATGCGACTAAACAGTGTTGTGAAACTGTGCGAACAAGTAACAAAACCAACAAGATTCCAATTGGTTCGGTTTTACTGCGTCACAAATGCAATTGCGATTTGGTGAAATGTGAATCCAGCTGACGTCACTATACCCAAACATATGCATATATATATTTATACTATAAGCACTTCAGTAAAATTAACTGACGTGGCTTTACAGTTTCCATGCTTATCATTTTCTATGTATGCCCTGAACTCATTCACAATGGGTAAAGACGTATAATTTTGGTGCAAATGTATATAACATGCCAATCCCATACAGTATATACATGCATATATTCTTTATCGGCATTGCCAGACACGTTGATCTTGCCATGTCCGTCAGTCTCTCCAAGAGATACCGAAATTAAATAGGTGCATTGACAACACTGGACTTGACAGCCGCAGCAAGCGGCGTACGTGCTTGTATGCATGTATATATATGTATACATATATATATATTTTTTTAATTAACAGGCAGTATATACCTTTGGCTTAATAATTATCTGATATGTTGTTACTGTTATCTAACAACTTTTGGCAAAGTAAAGATATGTATAAATAAAACAAACCTTGAATGTTAACAACGCCAGTTAAGCGCTCTTTCTAGGGTATCTTTTAGTGGACCCTATTTTATCAACATAAATGTATGTATGTACTCATTAGCGTACCGCAACTTAATGCAAGTACATATATTTGTTATAAGTTTAATAGCATTTCATTTTTATTGAGTTGCGTGGTCTTTGTTCTAAGTAGAAAAGTAATTATTGTGTAAATCGAGTACAAAATCATATTTTAAGAAGTAAATGTAACATTTCAACATTTTATTTAAATCTTTGTTTCTTGTATTAATGAGATTGATAATTTTAAATTAAACAAAAGATAATTCAACATTTTCAAAAAGTTATAAAAGGAAAATCTTGCCAACAAAAAAAAACGTAATATATCCATTTTGATAGACATTATCAAAATCGGTAATATAGTGTTATTTTTATAGGAAAATATTATGTATACATATACGCATATGTAATATAATAGATGAGAGCGAATATCCAGAAATTTTGTAATATCACTGGATTTTCGTTTTGTTTCTTAACAAATTTTTTCTTAAATGGGTTTCCTTTGCCTTTGCGCTCATTGCCTTGATCTTCAGAAAGAGCGTTGCAAACATTAACAGATTGTTGTTTCGGATCCATACTTTGCTGAGATTCGGATTTTGCGTTATGCTTATTCAACATTGCTGGATTTTGTTGCATATTCAAGGCCCATTGGTTTAGATTTGTCCGTGCTTTGGGCTTGGTTATGTTGAGGTTTTGGATTGAAACTGGGTCGGACTTGCATGACGCTAGATGGATGATTACTTGGTCCAGATCCAAAGTTGTTTTGTGTCTGGTTATGTCGAGCTGCAGGATACCCACGGCCAGAACTACCTTGTTCAATATTGAATCGGGGTCGAGTCTGCCCATTATGTGGTACAATATTGTTGGAATTAACCTTGGAAAAATTTGGTCTATTTATATTAAACCGAGGATCCTGCCCATTGGGATGCCTCTTAAATCCGGAATTCTGAAAATTCATACGCGGGTTGTAGTTGGGCCGTGGCCCGTTTGCAGTCTGTTGATTGAATTGTCTAAATTCGGGCGGCTGACATTTGGAATTAGCATTCTGGCCTGGAATGAAGTTGATGTAATCCTGTTGCGTGTGGTACGGGCCACCGCCGCCCTTTTTATAATGTGCATTCTGATGATTATTTGAATTTGGAGCCGGTTGCTGTCCCATGTTTTGGCGCCAATTTTGTATTTTCGTTTCTGGTTTCGAGCTTGTAGCGCCTTTTGAATAACTTGGCTGCAGTCCAGGACTTCGACTGTCCTTATTTATCTGCGACGTTGACTTGTTGATGGCTTGAGGAGGAGCATCAACTGGCTCTTGCTTGGGGTTCACTTCCAATTTTGCTTCGTCTAGCATGCGAGTTATGTTGTCCACTTGCTGTTTTATTTTCAGTTCAACTTCTCGCTTCTTCCAATGCTCAAACAAGTGGGTTTTCAATGCCACTAGACTCTGGCTTTCAAAATCGCATTGGTTGCAGCGCAATGGCATAGTTTTGCGTAATGCCTTAGCCCTTTCAGGAGACATTGGCTCAATGGAACCCTGTACACGGAGCAGGGCGTAAACAGCCTGGTAAGTGATGAAGACGTCAGTGTTGAAGCTGTTCCAATGCTGTATGCGACGCATAGACTCCGAGTAGAAATCATTTGATATGACATGCATAGCGATTCGGTTCCTGAATGGGTCGATTTTGAATCCAACCAGAAAGTAGCTGGAGGGCACGTATTTTTGCTGTTCAATTATCTGAGTGGCCAGTTCCATCATATGATCCAGGAGCGGCAAGTGCTCCCGTGTCAGCTAAATAGCGCTAAAAATATTATCATAGAAACAGATTAATATATTCACAGACTTACAGCACAAACATTCGATATATCTTCCTTGGGAACAACCAGAAAATGATATTGCGCCTTTGGATAAGCATCCTTCATCACCGTCGCTAGATCAGTTTCTATTAGTTGTGCCTTGCCCTGTTGCATTTGGTACGTCAAGTTGTCTCTAGCCGCTTCCTCTCTTTTCCTCATTTGGTATAACTAATTTTAGGAATTCACCGAAAACTAAAAAATGGTGTATGCAAGCTTACACACATTTATGCACATTATGTGTACAATGGCAGAAATTAGTATTTAAAAGTAATGAAACAATTGGAATCGGCACCTAAAATGATTCAAAATACTGAACAACAGTGTTGAAAAAACCCCACAGCTGGTATTCACACACGACACACACACACACACACACACATAAAAAATGATTGCGTACGTGTGGACACGATCTGTTATTGCCATCTATTTGTTAACAGGCTTCAGTGCTCCTGTAAGTGCTCCTTGAGCGATGGCATGTTTTTGGCAACAAACGCACACTGATTGCACGTTAAGGGCTTCGCAAGCAGCTCGTCGACTCTATCTTTGGGTAAACGTTGTATGTGGCCTTCGTTGCTTATTTGTGCATGGAGTGCTGCAATTACAGTAAAAATAAACACTCTTGTTTATAGTTATTTTTGGTATTTCGTCAACGTACTTTCGTATGGTATAAATAGAGACGTGTTGAAGCTATTCCAGTGTTTTTTTGTCTTTAAGCAACTTGAGACAAAATCCTTTGAAATGACGTGCAAATGCAAACGTTGCATGCTCGGCTGTGCATGGAAACCAATTTGAAAACGCTCATAACTTTCGCCGCGTATTTCAATGATATTGCGGGCTAGCAGATGCAGCTCCTCCAGCAATGGCAAATGTTTCTTGCTTAACTAAAAATTGAGAATCAAAATGTGCTTCAAAATAAATTTGTGCATGTCTGTCTATTACCTGAAAAATACTAGCAATATCCTCCTTGGGCAGCACGAGGTAGTGATGGCGTGCCTTTGGGTATTTATCGGCTATAACAACAGCTTCGTCTGTTGTTATAATTAAATTAATAGGATCTAATAAGGATTTGATAAGCCCGGTTTGCCAATACATTTTTACAGCTGATTTACTTGGTTGTCCCGGTTTCTGCAGTGTTGACAAATATCCAGATGTGGTGCCGTCAGTGGTGAAAAATGGCAATATGAACACAATGATGCGTGCGTCAGACGCGCTTTGGTTTGCATATCGCTTAAGTACACAATTGTAACTATGAGTTCAATAAAATATAATAATAAAAATTACAACCAAATACATGATTAACACAAGCCTAACATATATCCAACAATTTACTCCGTGACTTAGTACTCGATTTATTTAAATGGATTGTCCAGCACTGTATTCACAGCGCATGCAACCCTGCACGCAACCCTGCACCAACAACAATGAACTACAAGAGCCGAGAAGAATATTATTTGTTTGGTCGTCTAAATGTGCTTGTGTGCAGCGTGTGGGCAAGTAAAAAAGTGTGTACCGCAACATACAGTCAGCCGTGCATTTTTTACGCAACGCGTGCGCAATTCTCTCTATTATGTGATACTTTTTAATTGGAAATCATTCGAATCTCATTTTGAAGCATCCAGTGCAGCGCCAAGTTAACGGAAATTTGCATCTGGAAGTCGAAAGCCTGCCATCTAAAGATCCAAAAAAAAAAAGAAAGATTACGCAAAGCAAATAAATCATACGCAACATGGCAAAAGCCACTGAATTAAAGCCACGCCACATGGCCGAACCGTTGCACATACAGCGACTGGAGGCAGCATTAAATATGCGTCCGTTTATGGAGATGGCCCGCCAGGCACTCAAGCAGCCATTGAGCAGTGGAAGCGGTGAAGACAGTGCTACCGAACTTGAGTGTAACCAGGAGGCCTGCATTGATTCTGACGATTCCTCCACTAGGGTAGGCGTGGTAAGGATGAAGTTAAATAAGAAACGTCGCAATCGTCTCCTGGGCAGCAAAGAGGGTAATCGCAGCTGTATGTCGGAATTATTTTTACATGGATTCTAAATCTTCACCTTTACAGAGCGACAGAGCGTCAAGACTCAGATATACAATTTCAATGATCTGACCAGCGATCGGGAATGGCTCTACGATATAATACTTAGCGACACGGAGAGCGAGGAGCAGGTTAGCGATGAGGATGAGTACATTAATCAAATGCTTCGCGAGCATTTGCAAGAACAACGCCAGCGAAAGAACTACTACAAGAAGGCCACAGTATGTATATGAACATTGTGCCAATTTTCTATATTTAACAATTTGCATTAAAGAACGCTCAATATGCCTATTATGGCAGTGGCCTACTGTCCAATCATGACGTTTATGCGGAACGTCAGCAGGCCACAGTTGGCGTGCGCAAGCGCCGGCGTCGCACCAAGCAGGAGATACTTTTGGCACGTTTGGCTGAGGCGCAGGCGGGCCCCAAACCGGTTAAACAGCGACGACGCGGGCGCAAGAAGCGCACGACTTTAGACTCGCCGGAATCTGGCGAGGTGCCGCCCTCGGAGCTGGGCAAGTATAGTTTTGGTGACACGTTGCCTGCCAACGATGAGGATGATGAGGATAACGGTGAAGTGGATTACAAGCGGGAACTTGCCAACCTGGCTCTAGACTTTCCAGAGGAGGAAGAAGAAATCGAGGAGGAGGTGGATGTAGTTGGTGCTGCCGATGGTCAAGTGACACGTGTTCGTCGTCGTCGCAAGAATCCCGAAGTATTGGCTGCACGCCGTCGCCGCATCTGGCAGATAATGTCCAAAAAGGAGTCTGGCCGGCTGCAGCGAATCAAGAGCAACAACCACAAAGAGATGCTGGCCAACTGCAAGCGCGTGGCCGGCATGTGCGCAAAGGTTGTGCGCCAGCGTGCACTCAACTCGCAGCGAATCATGAAGGAAACAGTGTGGCGTGCCAAGCGTCTTACTCGTGAAATGCTCACCTATTGGAAGCGTTATGAGCGGGTAGAACGCGACCAGCGTCGCAAACAGGAACGCGAGGCCGAGGAGCAACGCAAACAAGATGTGGAGCTCATCGAGGTGAAGCGCCAGCAGCGCAAACTTAACTTCTTAATTACCCAAACGGAGCTATACGCTCACTTTATGTCCAAGAAACTCGGCCAGGGAACAGAGGCGGATCAGCTGCGCATACTTAGCCAACTGGATGAGGAGCACAACGCGCGTCTGGCAGTTCATGATGATTATGACGCGGGCGAAATGAAGCAGCTGGCGCAGGCCAATGCAGAGGCAGCGTTGCAGCGCGATTTGGACAAAACGCGCGCCTTTGATGTTCCCTTTAAGAAGGAGCAGATAATGGAACAGCTGCAGGAGCTAGATCAGCCGCAGTCGGAACGTGAACAAATGAAGGATCTGCCGCAACCCAATATGTTTAAGGGCACACTTAAAGGCTATCAAATCAAGGGCATGACTTGGCTGGCTAATATCTACGATCAGGGGATCAGTGGAATTCTGGCTGATGAGATGGGCCTGGGAAAGACTGTGCAATCGATTGCGTTTCTATGCCACATTGCGGAGCATTACGGAGTATGGGGCCCGTTTCTAGTTATCTCGCCCGCCTCAACCCTGCATAACTGGCAGCAGGAGATGGCACGTTTTGTGCCCGACTTCAATGTGGTGCCCTACTGGGGATCACCCAATGAGCGGAAAATTTTGCGTCAGTTCTGGGAGCAGAAGCACCTGCACACACGTGAGGCCAGCTTTCACGTGGTGATTACATCGTATCAGCTGGTTGTCAGCGACTACAAGTATTTTAATCGCATTAAGTGGCAGTACATGGTGCTGGACGAGGCACAAGCCATCAAGAGTGCCGCCTCACAGCGCTGGAAGCTCTTGCTAGGCTTTAACTGTCGCAATCGTTTGCTGCTAAGCGGCACGCCCATTCAGAATAGCATGGCTGAGCTCTGGGCGTTACTACACTTCATAATGCCCACACTGTTTGATTCGCATGACGAGTTTAACGAGTGGTTTTCCAAGGACATTGAATCGCATGCGGAGAACAAAACGGGCATAGACGAGCGTCAAATATCTCGCCTGCACATGATACTGAAGCCTTTTATGCTGCGGCGCATTAAGAAAGATGTGGAAAACGAATTGTCCGATAAGATTGAGATTATGGTATATTGCCCGCTAACAATACGTCAGAAGCTGCTTTACAGGGCGCTAAAGCAAAAAATTCGCATCGAGGATCTGCTACATGTTGCCAACGGTGGCTCGTCAAGTTCTGCGTCGGCGGATGGCTCTATTTTGGATCGCAACTTTACCTCGAACCTCATGAATCTGGTCATGCAGTTCCGCAAAGTCTGCAATCACCCAGAGCTCTTTGAGCGACGAGATGCAAAGAGCCCGTTCAGCATGCGTTGTGCCGAGTTTGTTCTACCTCGCTTGGTCTTTAATGATGGTCTGCTTCACAGCGCTCTGCCGAGTCGCAGGCACCTCCTGTATAACCGGTTAGTAGTTGTTGATCATGGACTTGCATTTCATTTCATATTATTCCTTTACAGCTTCAACATATTCAAGGCGGCGCACATGCAGGAATCCCTGTTCGAAGATGTGCACGTAAATAGTTGCTTTGGTTTTACCCGTCTGTGTGACTTATCCCTGTCCGACATGGAGGATGTGACCTGGCACGGACTTATAGATTTGTGAGTATTCAATTTGGAATCATTTGTTTTCCCACTTTTTAAAACTGATTTGGTTTCGTAGTTTGCTGCACTATCGTCGCGTGCTTGCCAGGCAACCACTACTCTCCTATCGACGTCAGTGGTGGCCATATCAACGTGCTTCCCGTTACCAACTATTGGAACCAGTTCTGGAGCGCAAACTTGTGCCGGATTATTTACTTACAAACAGTGTGCTAAGGGAATTCATTTTTACAGCAATGGTAAGTTTTTTCACATATGCATTTGTAGAATGGTAAACATAATATTGTCGAAAATTGATTTAGTGCTTGCTTATAATGGGATTGAGTCTGCCTTTATAAAAACTAAAAAATATCTATGATTCAGCATCGTCAGTTTCTTTCTCCACTTGTCCATATAAAGGTGTCGATGTCAGGGATTTTTGTCCCTGGCTTAATACGTGTGTAAATTTGTTCAACTCCTCCTCTGCCCGTCTGCCATGCTCGCTTCAGAGATCATAAGAACGATTGTCATATTTGGAACATATGTTTATTTCAAATTATTAATAGATCGTGCTGTTTTCTGAAAACGATAATTATCGAAAGCCCAAATTTTGTTTACTATAGAGCGAAAAGCAACAAAACTGTTGCATGAGCGGTACAAAAAAATTTCCAAAAAAAAATTTTTTGTTATGTTTGGTAAGAATGTACATTGGTACGCCATATCTGCAAAGTCCTTAAAATTGATAACGACAGGCACAGTAGTTAGTATATATTGCACATGTATAAAAAAAAGCTACGTATATTAATTTAGTTAATTACATGTTGAATTATGTTGACTCCCTTTTTAATTCCTTTGGTTGATTTGCAGACATCTCGCGAGAGCAGCGTTTATGCTTTTGGGGATTATATCACTGTCAATATGCAGGAAACGATCGAGCATCGTGTGACACGCTCCAAGATACTCAAGGAGAAGGCTGGACTCATCGATGCGCTCGTCGATGCTGATGGTCCATCGGAGACTAAGGCTGAGCCGAGTATGAAGCAGGAGCTAGAGCTGGAATCTGTGGAGGTGCAGACCAAATCGAATACTAAGAGCGATGTCAAGATGACTACGTTGCATTTACTGCCCGAGTTCCCGCATCGTCCGCGCAAGCCGCAACGCTATCAATGCGAGCCGCTGCAGATGCCACGCTTCCTCTATGGGCTGGGTCAGCGTGTCCAAGCGGTCGATAGGCATTTATAGTGAGTAGCAATCTTTGGACTTCAATGTATGTAAATTCAACTAATGCCTGACAACTTCTGTTTGATAGTTGCGAGAGTCGCGCCGCTGCCTGGACGCACATTCGCCACCTGCAGTGCGAGAACAGCGTGGGCAGAGAGCTTGTGGGCACTGGCTTAGCGCTGTGCAAGCCGCGTAGCGGCTGGTCGTCGATTGTGGTCCCTGATAAGGAGACACTCATAACGGATGCGGGCAAACTGTTTGTGCTGGACAGTCTACTGACGCGCCTCAAGGCCGAGGGTCA